TTATATAAATAAAATCTATAACATAATGGGTATTTATACTATATGTAGTTCTTGATGTAAAAAAGATCAACTTTCGTACTGTAAAAATTCCATCTATGTGAATAAGTATGAATATACTCATATACACATAATTATACTAAATAACTAATTTAATGAAACTAAATTCCTATAGAAAAATGGGGAAAGTGTAGAATCGCCCACTGCTTGGAGTGTTTTTAAGAATTGCACATACTCGGTATCCATGTACACATCGATGTATTTTCACTTAAAAAAACATCCCAGAATTGCACAAAAATGTCATTGTGCACTCCTTTGACTTTATTCCATGTACACACATCGACCTATTTTCACTTAAAAAGTCAAAAGAAAATTGACAAAAATCCAATTCCTTTTTACTTTAGTAAAAAGTGCCAAATAAATAAGTGGGCGATTCTGCACTTTACCCGAAAAAAATATATAAAATACCATTTACCTATATATATTAATAATTTATTATTACACAAGGTTTTTCATATATCATCTCAAAGGAACATAAATTTAATTAAAGCGATGCATTATTGGAATAAATTTGAGTCAGTGTTTTAGGTGTAAGTTATTTAGATTTCTATTGTAGAAAGAATACTTTAGAAAATGTATAGAAATATTATTTTGAACCATAAAAATTCTCAATAGTAAAATTTAAAGTACTGAAAAGGTAGCTATTGTTTTTGACAGTAGATTATATAATATAAAAATACCTCATGCTGAGCATTTTCTGAAATTACAATGCCAGATGAAATTTATATAGTGCAGTAATTAGCAATAATAACATTTTGTAAACAAATGTAGCTATATTCGCTTAATTGTAATGACAGTAATTTTAACTGCATTTGTATAAGGCTGTACAGAAGATTTATTTATATGGGTTTTCATATCCGCAGAGAACAACCGGATTCTCTGTGGAAGTGCTTCCGAAAATAATGTTTAAATATTACTCTAACTATATTTGAAAGCAATGCTATAACAGTGCCCTTATAAGACTCATGATCCGAAAAGCTTTGGTTTTAATTGTCTCGTAAAAACTTTCAATTACTTCTGCAAAATTCATACCCACGTAAAAATTACTACACCGAAGTCAATTGATTATACAGCAAAACGTTCCTAAAACAATCAACTCCACAATTCAAGATAATGCCAGTTTCCTGTAGCCTGACAAAACTATGAGTGATTTTTTTAAGTCCTGTTATTTAATTATTGTCCTGACAAATGTGCCATTATCAGAGGTGGTCATTTAAGAAAATAACCACTATATGAGGTTTCAACTTAATGTAATTTTTTTCAAATAAATAATTCACTTTTTATACTCCCAAGACTAGTACATTTAATATTACATAAATCTTATTCACAAATCTATTTCTATTTCAAAAGCAATTTATGAAAAACACATTTGAAATTTTCTTCATCAAACTAATAATAATGAAAATTAAAGTATGCATAAAATGATTATATGTGTTTTTAACAAAATAGCACAAAATATTTAATGTAAAAATGTGGTTCTAGTCTCACACTTGTAAAGAAAAATAGACCAAAAAGCTACTATGATCATCTTAAATTTTCACATAATTTTAGTAGTGGAAAAAAGATTCCTTAAGCTTGTATGTCTTGCCTACCGCATTCAATAAGTAATAAACACATTAAATATTTCAATGTTTATTTCATTAATAAAACTTACCTTTTTTGCTCGCGAAATATAATTAGTACATTTTTTAAAACATAAAAAACATTCTTTTTTGCTCGGCCACATCACATTAGTCGAAAAATTGAAAATTGAATCATGCAAGATCATTTTTAAGTAAGGTATGCTCAAATTTATTAGTACATAATATTCAAATGATAAAGCATCTACATGAACAAGCTTTAAAAAAGTATTTCTAAACTGTAATCAAAAAAATAAATTTTCCAAAATACAGTTTCAGTAGAATGCAAAAACTATATTTCTGCATCTGCACACTGAACCAAATTATCAAGTCTGAAATTATCACTTTTCAGTCTTTAAGCACATTGTTTTTCAGGTTAAAAGTAAAGATGGAAAATCAATTTCACGCTCAGAAACTCCATTTCACAACTAGTCAGTTATCAGCAACGTTCTCTCAAACATTAGACACGATTACACGTGCATGGCTTTAGTGGTATATTCATAGTCAGTGCTGGTATTTTATTATTTATTACTAATTTCTAAACAGTAAAACATAGTAAAATTTGTAATACAGTAAATCCTAGTAAATAATATATTGCATTACTACAACAACCACGAAGAAAATAACACCACCATCGCACAACAATAACTAGAGCGGCGCCATATTGCTTGTTTGGGAAACTTCTGAGAGTGGGGGAGGGAGGGGGAATTTTTTTCTTCACGTCAGCGTTAACAGGGAGAAAAGTTTTGCGATTGTGAATGAACTTGTTCGCGTTAAAGAGATGTTGGTTGATACCGGTGTTTATTTGTAATATCAGAAATGTAAGTGCTTATGTGTGTGTATTCAGAGAACCAACTCGTAGCAAAAACCACCTCCCTAAGACGACCGCCTCTGAAAGAGACCAGTATTTCTGAAAACATAAGTATACTTTGGCATTGAATATTCCCTCTGTAAGGCGACCATTCACAAAGAAAATTCTGCTAGTGTGGCTGGTCGCCTTAGAGAGATTCATTCCGTAGATGCAATCTCCCTAAGACGACCGCCTCTAAAAGATACCGTATCTCTGAGAACGTGAGTATATATTGGTATTGAGCATCACCTCTCTAAGGCGACCAATTTCACAGATGATTTTTTTATTTGCGGCTGGTCGCCTTAGAGAGACCTCGTTGTGTGTGGGGTATATGATTACTGTTATTGTTTCCGAAAAACAATTTTTAAATCAAATAAATAAGCATATTTAGTAAAAACCCTCTCTAAAACGACCACCTGCGTTTCCAGGTTACTCTGATGGTCTTAAAGAGATCATATTTTCATTCTGTTAATTTTATTGTTTACAAGAAGTCTATTAACGTCAGATAAAAAAATAGCATAAACCCATATAAACCAACAGAAGATTTATTATTATATTGATACCAGTAAGAAAACCAGTAAAAGTCAATATAAACCTATACAAACGAGTACAAAGTTCTGCCATTGATGTTGGTTGTATGGGTGTCAAGTGATACTAGTAAGAAAAACCCTCAGAGATCAATAGAAACCAGTAAAAGTCAGTAGAGACCATCAAAAATTCTATAGGTACCAGTAGAAAGTTTTACTGGTTTCTATGGGTCATTTTGAAACCAGTAAGAAAAACCCACAGAGACCAACAGAAACCAGTAAAAGTCAATAAAAACCCATAAAATCTTATGGGTACCCATAAAAAGTTTTACTGGTTTCTATGGGGCATTTTTAGCAGGGCTATTATTTGAGGTTTTAGCAATATTTGTAGTGTCATTTTGAACACTATTTGCATCATTTGTGTCCATATCTTGATTATCTATATGAGTTTTATCAATTTGCTCTGTGATTTTAGTAACTGAGCTATCTGTGCTTGATTGTGCATTTTTATCTGAAGCAGTGGTGACATTGGACGTGATAACTTGACTATCACTTATCTTTTTGTTTTTATACTGCACTCTGTGATTTTCTAGTCCTTACAGTTTGAGCTCCTCTACGCCTGTTTTGTGTTTCGTCTTCTGAACTAGTTCCTTGATCAAGCGTTTTTTCATTCTCTGAGTTTAGGTGTGAGAAATCATTAATCTTGATTGGGCTTCTGCCCCTATCATTATCCTCTAAAGTTGGACTCGTATTTCTAATATCCACTAAGATATTAGTGTTTTCGTTAGTGTTTCCTTTTTCATGATTAATTTGTTCATTAAACACTTTCAACATATCAACAAGACTATGCAAGAATGTGTAAAGTTTGCCTTCTTTGTCAGTGAATTCTCCATTTTGCTCTTTGACATGGTCGAGCTCACTAATCTGCGCTTTCACTGCACCTAGCACTGCATCCATCTTCGCATCGAAAATCAAAATCCTGCGCCCTGAATATAGGAGTCCAACACCCCGGAATTAGGCCCACTCGATAGTGTCCTAACTAGCGGATGTGTTGGCGAAAATTCCCGCAAGGCCCCTGACAATCACCTGAAGTAAATTGAGATAAAAATGCGTATAATTTAATATTCCGTACAAGGAAGTCATGTGGTGCACACATTTTAATGTAGGATTTGTAAACCTTGGTTTATTATTTTATTTATTGCTGCTACCAGATGCATTTACAGATTTGCAGTCGACTTCTTTTGCGTTGGCGGATTTTCTCTTTTATCATTGATTTAACTTTAGAAACTTTTTTAGTACGCACCGTTTTTGGTTATTCGCTTGGAGTTTCTTTACCACTGAAAAATAACGCTTGACTGTATTCTCCTTTCTCATTAACAATTCTAAAATGCAATTTTAATACCATGCATTTTAGAAAGTTTTTGATTTACAGAATAGGATTATTTCTGTTCAGAATACTCAAAAACATATCTTCCAACTTACAGGACACTTTGAAAGAATAATAAATTTAAAAACGGCAGACGGTATTCCTCATTTAAAATAATAAGCCGTTGCCAAAAAGTTTTATACTAAAATATTTGCTTTTTTAAAACTTCTTTATTGAAATCTTTCGAAAAATGTGGAAACATACTCTGTAAACTCATGAAATTACATCAGCTAGGATTATTAAAATAATTACATATTTTTCTCATTTTAAAAATAACTGTTGTAAGCGGCAAGCCATGCAAACGGCTACTCGAAAAATATATTTAACTAGTGCAAAGAATATATCTACTTCTGATTTGAATGATGATTTCTATCAATGTTAATGTACAAAAATATTCTATAGATGCATAAATTATCTTGATAAGAACATTTGTAAATATAGCTAACAACACATTAAAATAAGCTCAAGAATTTTATAAATTCTTTTTTATTCGAATTTATATTATGCATACAGTTACGTACCACAAGAGCGACGATCATGGGCCCGGTGATGAACCAAACGAATGGTGAGTGTCCATAACCTTTCCAGCACGGTCGGTCCAAATATAATGCCATCAGCAGCAACCATGAACCCACGCAAACGAATGGTATACCTGTTCAAAAAAATAGTAACGGCAATTTAAAAAATAAAAATAAAAATCTGCAAGGTTTCAAATTTAAACGGTCGCCCAAAAGGGTTTATTAAGGTTTTTTACGTTCTCGCAAGGCTCCCAATTTACAAGCGTGCTGTTATACTCACTCCTGCTATCCCCCCCTTTTTTTGTCTTTTTAGCTTTATTATTAAGCATTACTTTCTTCGCATTTACGTCATATACAAACCAACAGCAAAATTACAAACATTTTAGAAGGAGCATAGCAGTATACGTCTAGAAAATATCCGAAACATCCTTGTGCGCTTATTTCCCCCCGACAATCACAGCTCCGCAGACACTCCCGTGTACACTTACGTATTCGACTCTCAATATTTGCATAATTTTTGGGCAACATAATTAGTACCTTCGGTTCAATATTGTTGGTAAAAATAGACATAATTGACAAATTCTCGTAATTTTACGCTGTAGAGACATTAGGATTTTTTTTTTTTTTTGAAGCAGGAGTGATGAATAATGAGCAACGCCTTCGCTGGATCTCTCGAATACGCGCCGAGCGTGCTGACCACTACGCAACAAAGGCATGCTAAGAAGGAGGAAGAAATACACACACGACAGTATATACGTGTATACACTATGCACGCAAACATGAACACATAAATACAAAAAGCAAATGTAGATATCAAAAAAGTATATGTAGTGAATTTTCACGAAAATAAAACGATATTTTTTAAACTTTAAAATGAACTATTGATAACGCATTCATACGCAGCTAACATTAAAAATATACATTAAAATAATTTTTAAATATGCCTTGATTTTTACATTCTATAAAATATATTTACTTAGCGGTATTTTAATTTTTGATATTTACTACTTATGTTACTTAACTTTAGTGTAGAATACCTTTTAAGGAATGGTAAAAAAATGCACATGCAAGCTTTTTTGTTCTTGCAAACAGTTCTAAAATGCAAGTTACTCGCGAGGTTGCATTATTTTCGAAAAGATACATTGTACATGTGTGTGAGAGAGATATAATTCAATTTATTCTACTCAGAAAAGAAGACGATGGCAAAGAGTTTCTAACTGTACTCGAGCTTCATGCGCGCCAGAAGAAAGAAAATTCCTTTATCTAACAGTGCAGCAACAACTTCTTTTATCGAGTAATGTATTATAATGTTAATAGGCTGAGGATGTAAAATGGAAGAAATTTACAACTTTGCAGTGGCATCATTTGCTTCGAGTGATGGATGATCCACTTTCAGCGATGTAAGAGGAAAATGTTTGAGAATAAACCATCAAGGACAAAATAAGTATTCGAAGAATCTTGAGTGTAAGAAAATAAATTTCTGTTAAAGACGTTTTATTTTTTAGCTTTATCTTCTCTGATATAAAGGTGCGAATTTCATTTATCTACTCTAAAAGTCTTTAAAAGAATTACAGATCTTTTATGAAAACATGCATTTTACACATTACTCTAATAAATTAATAAATTCGTAAAAAAAAAAAAAAAAAAAAAAAAAAAAAAAAGAAAGAAAATCTGAAAGGTTTAGATTTTAAATTACGTTTTTTGAACGTTTTGTGTGTTACCTTTATTTATTAAATATCATGTTCTTCGCACTTAAACCATAAAATTAATTTCAACAGCAATATCGCAATATAATTTTAAAATGAGCCTATCTTTAGAATTTCCGATACACAGTCTCGTGCGCTGCAGTTAAAAATGTTTTTTGCGTACAACGTTGCCATGGCTCGCTTTAAAATGTTTGAGTTTGCTCATCAGAAATTCGTTAAAGTTTTACAAAATATGAAATCGATAATAAAACAAATTGCAAATTTGGGCTTCCAAATGCCCATATTCGCAGTAGGATTACGTCATTCAAAACTGGATGGCTCTAGGTACCGTTATTTAATCACAATGCGAGAAACATACATACATTTATGCAAATTCTTCATTATTTAATTTCTTCAAGTATAATACAGGGCGATAATATTGGGTGGCAACAGTTTGAAAAATGAAACGGACATTCAGAAAATGTCCATTTCGTCTTGCAAAATCGCAAAACGAAAAAAATTGTCCTTGAGTGACAAAGCCCCTTTGGACTAAATTTGTTTATGCCAACCTGCGGCTTATAGGCGCTCTTAAAACTTTGCACTTTCATAACGTTGCAATAGCCGTTAATTTACGCTATGGTGACAAAGATGGCAACGTTTCGGGCTTTTATTGACGAATTTTGGACTTTTTCTCCATCAACACATAACGAACGTTTATTTTAACAGGATTTTTTTTTTTAATTGGCAACGACGAGAATACAGAATTCTAAGAATGTAAATGATCATTCGCGCTTTAAGTTTTTGTATGGTGATGCCAAGTAAAGTATTTGCGTTAATCTAAGTACATATTTATCTTGTATATATAGTCGTATTTGTATATTTGCTAAGTATATATTTGTCGTATTGGCTCAAGTAAATGTCGAATCTACACTTATGATCAATTTAGATAATTATGAAATGACAGAAATTGTTTTTGCACTTAAATGTCTTAGCATGAGTTTACCACAGCAAAATATTTAATTCCATTTTATTATGCCCCTTAACAGGATGTTAAAGGGCATAATTAAATGGAATTAAAGATGTTCTGTACTTTAAGAAAAGAGGATAACTTGTATCTGCGAGTTAAAACTAATTAATTTTTATTGAAAAGGGCACGCATTTTTTAAATCAAGGAGGAAGATTTCCTTAGTTCAGCGCATATTCATTATTTCGCTAGCAGAATTTTTGTCTCTGATCTTTTGAGAAAGTTCATTTACATGACGTCATTGCCTGTCACCCAAGACGAGTGTGTTTAGAATCTTGAATTAATTTCTTTTAAGCATTCTAGAGGGACTGAAGATCTATATTTAGAATTCTTATATAAATGGAGTTAAATTACTAACTCACTTCTGCAAATGTAAGTGCGTTACTGCAAGCAAAATTACAATTTTCCCTTTTAATAATTATATTATTGATAGCCTCATAAACATGTATAAATCAAAAATCTAATCTCCTGATTCTCTCGCTGAACAATATTGACAATTTCAATCTCACTACTTTTGAATAGCTTTGGCTTTTAATACGGCCAGAAGCGGTGGTCATTTTGCTTTGAAGCCACCGTTGGTACCTTCTATAAAGTGAGCTCCTATAGGCGGTTGGTACTTCCTATAGGCGGCCACCGTTGATACCTCCTACAAAGGGACAATTTTACATTCCCATGCCTTCTCCGGGGTTCGAATCCTGGCTCTTTGATACGGCACTCAGAGTCACTAACTAGAAAATATTATTATGTAAATATTAAGGTTATAGTTCCGACATGTTCCGGATTATAGCGTGTACCTTTAATACAAAATGTAAGATCGAAAATGACGGGCGAACGTTTCACGTCGGATATAGAAATGACAGATTTAAAAATAAAGAAAAGATGAGGATGCAAAAATTATATTTCCACATGTACCTTACTGACCTTTGTTTAAAAGAAATGACATTCCCTATCATCTTCAAAAATTTTCTTATATGATAACATAAAAAGTTTCTTATATTCATCTTCCGTTACATCTTCAGGCACATTTTAGAATTCGGTTTCATCTTCACCATCACTGTTATTCTGATCCATACATAAATAATCATCTTCCGTTCCATCTAGATTGTTAGATATACTACATTTTTAATGACTTTTGAATTATACCCAGTTTAATTTCCTTCCGCACTTTTATTATCCACTCACACAATATTTCTACGACTGGTATGACGAACTTGGCCTCCTTTTCTTTCCTAAATACGCGAATTCATTCGGGTTCGAATTGCATTATTACCTCAAATAATGTCCCCCTTTTCTCGAAACACTAGAATAATATTCCTGTGCACATTTGCATTGAATACAATGCACCCTCTTTGCAGAATTATTTATTCCTCAATCATTTCTCCTACACATATTTTTCGCCTAATTGCTTTGTCATTTCAGTCTGCCATTGCTCCACAACCTGGTAAAAATTTTCAAAGGAATGACTTCGAAAGATAAGAGCATCGCACATGCATCTTTCTGGTTTGTTCGTAAAAAAAAAGGTGTGAGTTATACGGCGAATATACCTAAAAAACTAAAAAAATGTAGTTTGAAATTATAGGGGCGCGTTATACGCCTGATATATAGTATATGCAATAGACAGCGCTGCACAAGCAGGTGCATCTATATGTGTTAAAAGTTATCCCATTCCCAAATGCGTTTCCTCTTAATGAAAACGGTTAGCACGTCCAGCTAATAAGTGGAAAATCCTTGGGTCAAATTGCGGCAAAGGAGTTATTCATATTAATATATTTCTTGGTCAGAAATGTAGTACCTGAATTGATATGGTGGACAACCTGGATTCGGTCGAGTCCTATTTCATATTACACATTCCCTCTCTAATCACGTTTTTCCTCTCGCTCTCGTACGTAATCCTTAGTTCGCATACCTATAAAGGTACACTCTGCCCAAAACAAAACAAAACAAAACAAAACAAACAAAAAAAAACAAAAAAAAAAGAGAGAGAGAGAGAGAGAAAAAGACAGTTTTATATTTTCTGTTCTACTGCTCCGATTGACGAAATTTAACTTGCGTTTTTTTTTTCATGTCTCAAAAGCGCGACTTAGGATATATATTAGATTCCCATACAGTATTATTGTAACATTCTATAGCATTATTCTAAAGTAACAGAAATAAAATATGATACTTTGCTTGTTAAAATTCCTGAACTTAACTTTGATGCTACTCTCAGGCAAGTGAGATAAGTCATAAGAGTAGAGAGCGTTCTTAACAAATGATTCATCGGGTTTTGAAATTTTTTAATTTACAAGTTATGAATTGTCTGCGTTCTTGACATTCATGCAATGAAGAAACTGTCTTAATTTTTTTTTAGTTCGCCTGTGCAAACTTTCTTGTGATATATCGTGCAACAAGTATGAGTTCCATCTATAAGAATGGCGAATTTACAACAGAATGCGTTTTTGTTTCCTAATACGCAAAGTATTTATCTATTATTACTGCGAAATATGCATTTGGAAGGCAGTACGATGTACCAGATATACCAAACCACCAGAACATTCTACGATGACATCGACAGTTCAGAATGATTAATTGCTTACTTAAAAGTAAGACATCTCGACAGTCAACCGTTTCTAAAGGAACAGCACAGAAATTCGAAAGAGTTTTGTGTCTAAACCACAAAAATTAACAAAACGGACTAACCAAGATCTTAGAATTTTCCAGCCAATTATTTGGAAGAATTTTAAACCGGCTACTGCAATTGAGGCCATCATTCTGCTACATTTATAGATGTTTTAGCATAACACTGCAAGACGAGGATTTTCCAATCATTTAATACTCAATGAAAAGCGACATTACGAAGCATAGCAAATTGGTTACTATTGTTGAACAGAAACGGAACTGGCCAAAACGAAACGTCTTTTCTGTCATTTTTCTGACAAAAGTGTACGAGCTGTCTTTCATTGAAGATACTACAAATAAGTCGTATCTTGATATTTGTCAAGTGAAAGATGATTCAGAAACTTTAACGTTCCCGCAAGATGGGGCCCCATCTCTTTGTTATGATGTAGTAAGTCTCTATCTAAATGATGAGGTCTAATGTTGTTGGATTGATCATCCCGGAGAAGATGATTCAGCATCGTTCAAACGGCTGTCAAGGTCTCCCGACTTAACGCCCACCGATATTTTCATTTGCGATTATTTAAAGAGAATATTTATCTGCTCCGATTGTCAACAACAGTCGAGTTCCAGGATCACATAACAGCTGCTATGGTAACTTGTCACTAGGGAAATATTCTAATTCGTGTGGGAAGAAACGGAGTACCTCTAAAAGAGAGTCGTATATAAAAGAACTATGCATAGAACGTTTATGGTGTAACTAAAACGTCTGAGAGCTTTTTTACTTTATTTCATGAAAGACTCAAGTTTTTTTACTTGCAATACATTACGAAATACAGCAATCTGAACCTCAATGAAACATTTTTAATAATTCTATATGTTATTGCGAGTAGGATAAATTTGAAGAATTTAATGAAATATAAGCAATACAGTATACAAATTAGATAAATAATAAGCAAAATTCTTCGCATGATTTGTAACAATTTTTTATGTCACATAATTTTAAGCTCATTTATGATAATAATAATAATAATAACAACAATGGATTCTTAAAAAATGTATTTCGGGTATTTGGAAACTAAGTTACAAATAATTTTTACATTTTATTCAGTTTACAACAAAAATTCCAGGAAGATAAGAAATAAAGCTTACGAAGTTCCAATCATTGTGAAAATAATTTATCTTCTGACCTTCAGATCATCAACAAAATTATCTTCTAAACGTGAGAAATATAAATGCTTTTGTCAAAAACGGAAACTGGGATAAAATTCTTCGAGATTTTTTTTTTCTCAAAATTTTACAACACTGTTTTAATAAAATATGTAAAGAGTTAACTACACAAGCGTAAAAAATTCTGTAACTTACCCCAGCCTATAGCGTAATAAAGTTTAAAAGGCGGCTCTTGCTGAAACACGGACACTGTGATGCTACTGTGAAGAAGTAGGCCTTCCACAAACATCCAGTGTATACATGTCATTGCCGAGTACATCTTCAGAACTAGGACGGCCTTGCACAACCAGTCCTACGAAGAATATTCAGAAAATACAAAATTTAATGCTAGTAAAGTAATATGGATGTAGGACTTCACACAACTTAGCAACGTATCAAAGCTACACGTGGCTTTCATTACGTATAATTGTGTTATGTGTTTAACAAATGTACTGTATGTTGATATTATGTAAAACTAGCTGAAGTCCCCAGTGTTACCCGGACTTTAGAGTGAAAGAACCTCATTTAGGGAAATGGGGGTAGTTTTTTAGAAATCTCAGCTAAACATTGATTTTCCCTTATTTTGGTTCAAAATGAATTGTGCAGAATTTTATTAAACTGTAATAAAACTGTAAGTTATGGTAAAAGTAACACGGCGCCATGTACCGGTTTTAACAAAACTGGCGCTTCGTTATCGGTAATGTCTTTTTTTCGGAAATGAGCTTTTGTTGAGGTATGACTCAATGATTCTACACTGTTCTTGAAAGTTCTACCCTTTCCTAAGGAGTAAACGAACACGGCGCCATCTAACGATTTTATAAAAAAATGATAGCGGAAACGCAACAACGGTGACGTCCTTTCAAAATTGAAATTGAGTAGAACTATTAATTTTTTATAAAATAATTCTAAATTCTATGCTTAGCTTGTGTGACTTCCATGATAATCGGCAAGACATGAAACTAAGATGTGTAACGTGAGCGAGCGCACCTATCTACTATAGAGTGGATCTTTGGAAGGTAATCTTTTGAAATATTTTGCAGACAGTGAACTTCTTCTTGTTTTGAAGATCAAGTATGCATAATTTCTTCAAGATCGGAATAAAACAGAAAATTTGTATGAATTATAGAGGACAAACAAACGGACATTCTTATGTGTATATATTGTAATGTATTTTGCAGTAATTGACAAAGGCAATCTTCTTATTAGAACATAAATTTTATTTCTAGTTCACGGTGATAGACAAATTTTATACAATTCTTAAGTGGCAAAATTTTAATACTAGCTGGTAAAATCTTCAGAATCCTAATCTTTTCAAAACAATATCTCACGTTACTGAGTAACGATTTAATACAAATATGGCGTTGCCACTTCAACAATAATTATATTTAGTTATAAATAACAGATATGTACTGCAATTCCTTTCACTGCATATGTATATATATATATATATATATATATGTTAGGTTACACATATTGTTACGAAATGTACAGGTGTGGTAAGATGGTTTCCCCGCAAAGCAGTTTTAGGGTTGCCATAAAATGGGAAAGGGAAGGCATAGGGTTGCCACAATTTGGCGAGAAATCGCCCATTTGGCGACAAAATTGGCGGCAAAATTGGCATTGTACCATGGACGGATGAAGAACCTTCTGGAACGAATTCATACCGGTTTAGCCCAGAATGTTCTCGAACACAAGCCAAAAGCTATTACATAAACCCAATGCTGGTACGCGCAGTCAGTTAGTATAGTATCGAGAGTGTGCCTCGTCTAGAGAAGGCGAGTCGGAGTCCTCATCTAGAGTGCGAGATACCTCGTGCTTCAGTCTAGTTAATATCGAGTTGGTGTCTCGTCTAGCGAGTCAATCCCTGCAGAGCCGTAGTCGATCGAGTTGACAGCGGGCAGCGAGTGCCGAGTGGGTCGTCGAGTGCACCGAACAGAATCTCTTAGTGTATCGCGGTTAGTGCATCGTCGAGAGAGAGCGAGTTGAGCTCCAGGAACGACTGAACGAAGAGTCGGGAGTTGTGCTCTGTGTGTCGTCGAGAGCATCGCGAGTTGTAGCGTGGAGAGTCTCGAGAGTACGTGGACTTCCGAGAACGACCGAGCAGAGTCGGAGAGCTATACTCTGGTGCTTTGCTGTGAAGCTGTCTCTGCCGTTATTGCCTGACAGTGTGAAGGCTGTGTCGCTGATTGTCACAGCGCGTTTATAGTAGATATTCGACGGACTGTAAAAAGTGACTTTGGAGCTGTCCTGATTAATATTGGTAAATAAGTGTGTTTCGATACTTCATCAAGTGTCGTCCTTATTCACTCCAAATCTACGCGAACCTCGTACGAACGTGAAGGTAGAAAATAACGTAACACCTGGTGTCAGAAAAGAAAAACGCAACAATATATATATATATAATAAAGAAGAATATATGGAATAACATGGACAGGCTTTGCTGCGCAGTTAGAATGATAACACTCGCCGAAAATTCACACATAATTTTATTCCTTGATAAATAATTCTTAGGATATGTATGCTTCTTCATTGCATAACATTATTGTGAGTGCGCTATGCACCCCACAATTTTATATCGTGTGGGTCACACGATATAAAATTATCACACAGCTCACTAAAGCTAAAATTATATATTCCTTTATAGTATTATGTATTATGTATGTATTCTTCTTCATTGCATAACATTATTGTAAGTGCGCCGCTATGCACCCCACAATTTTATATAGATTACATTTTTAGAACAATGGACAATAGCTAACAAATGAAAAGCGACACGACAGCTAGCGAAAAACCGTCATTTCGGGGAGAGAGGTAAAATCTAAAGTGCGCAGTAATCCAGTATGGAAGCTCAACAAGAGAAAGGTTTAGATACCTCTAGTTTAAATTAGAACTTTGATTTATATACTTTTTATCTTACATATTAATTGCGCAGAATGTTGATTCATAATGAATAAGAAAATGGCAGCCAAGGCAGATTAAATCTTCATTTTTATTTCAATATACGTGTTGCGGCCACAAACTATTTGGCGCACTACTCGAAACGTTTACATTTTTGATAGCTTTGCAGTAAGTAGAGAGCAGCAGACAGTAGTTCAGCTAGGCTGAAGGGTGGAAAGCAAGTGCCTTGTGTTCAGAATGAAATCTTATTTCAGACTGAGTTAGCTTTGGTTCTCAGTGCACTTTGATTGGATAATTAATACTGTTGCAAAATTATTATTGGCTGTTTGAGTTTCACCTCATCAGTGATATGTAACAGTCATGGATTAATCTCAAATGGCCCAGTACAGAAAAATGTTACTATTTTTAGAAAAGAGAGTGGAAATACCAAATTAAGCATTAAGGGGCTATTGCTAATTTAAATTATAATTTATCTTTTACATTTTTTTAAAATCTTAGACACACACATATACCCAACCACTTACCCGGCTCGCCGAGCTCTGCTTTTTATTATCACACAGCTCACTAAAGCTAAAATTATATATTCCTTTATAGTTAAATTATTACTTTAACGGGTTAACGCCTCAGTTCCATAATTAATAAAAATGTCTAATCCATAAATTTTGCAAAACAAACAATGAAAATATTTTTAGAGCATTTTCTTAGTTGCTACTTAACTGAGCATCTTATATATAAATTTCCCAAGCTTAAAAATACATTTAAAATTTGGAACATCCCCTTATAATACAAAATGCTTTTCAAGAAAATTAATATATAAATAATGAAATATCCACTTGTTACCCAGAAGTTTTTTTTTCGTTAAATTTTATTATTTTGAAAATGACTGTAAAGAACTCATTCATAGCATTATGTACTAGAACTTATTTTTCATTGGAGTGTAAAATAATAACCTTCCAAGTAGGAAAATAAAAGCTTACTACTTCTCGAAACATTCCTTCCACCGTTCGGAATATCCCAGGCAAAGATATGGCCAACATCATTACAGCATGCAAAATGAGAGAAAGCACCAAATTCCGATGGACACGAATACGAGAACACTGAAGCGTCCTGCGAAAGAAAATGCGAGGAATTAATTCGAGAATAAATAACATAACTACTCTTTAATAGACAGCACAGATTCATATGTCAAACTGCCATGAAATAAGATAAAATTCCTTTCGACCCACAGATTGAATTATGAAGACATAATACATATTCATCCATGTATCTAGAGAGCAATCATCCATGTATCTAGAGTATCAATCCATGTATCTAGAGAGCAATCATCCATGTATCTAGAGTATCAATCCATGTATCTAGAGAGCATCATGTATCTAGAGAGCAATAACAATTCACTAACATTTCTATTTTGCTGATATATGAAAATGTTTTTTCTGGCAATAGTTCACTAATAACAAAAGATCAAAAAATGTAAAAGATGTTTACGATTCTGATTCCTTCTTCCTTGCACGAAGGAAAGGAAGTATTGTAGACGTGAAGAGTTTCGAGTTTTAGATTTCAAAGGAAATATCCATTTTGTTCGTTATCGCAACCATTTTGAATTTTTTGGCAGTGACGTCTGTATGTAAGGACAGAATAAAGAACTCTTTCCAAAACAATTTGTAAAATGAATTTAAAATAGACGTTTCCGTGAGCGTCTGAACGTACGTACGTATATATGTACCTCACATACCTGAAAATTTTCGTGATTTTTCCCATGTGTAACGCGGATACGAGCTAGATTTCCTTGCAAAGTCTTCCACTACAATCTTCTTCTCTTAGACAGATAGCTATCGAGTGCTTAGCCATAATCAAATAAACCAAACCGAAAGTGCATACCTGAAAAACGGTTAGCCGTAGAACATTCAAATTTTGTATATATATGTAAAAACTATAACATCTAGTTGTGCGTCTCCATTTTTATTGCAATTGGGAGTACCAAAAGTGTATATCTTTGGTGTATCAAAAGTGTATTGGGAGTATTAAAAGTGTATATTGGGAGTATTTGGTATTGGGAGTATCAAAAGTGTATACCTCCATCTATCCATATATATATAGAGGTGGCCAAAATTGTGGACACTTTTGAACATTTTTATGCTTTTGAACTTTGTATGCTTATAGAAAACGTTACGTTTCACAAAATGCAAACTTGTATATATCATTTTAAAGAGAATTTATTACCGAATTCAATACAAAACACAAAATTCAATTATTTGAAATACAAAAAAAGTTAATTGATAATAGTTATCGATATACATTAGATAGTGATGATTGCAGTGAGTTATCAGTATTTAGTAGGGTACCCTTTATTTTTGATTGCAGCTTCACATCGACGTTTCATTGAGCTGACAAGAGTTTTTAGCTCTTCTTCCGTTATTACATGTTGCCAGGAAACAATTATAGCCTCAATTAGTTCCCTTTATTTGATGGGCGCCTCATTCGGACAAGAGTTTTCAAACGGTGCCACAAATTTTCGATAGGATTGAGGTCAGGACTGTTTCCTGGCCATGACAACAATTTAGTGCTCTTTGTACCAAACCATTCTTTCGATATTTTGGCCGTGTGGCAAGGAGCAGAATCCTGCTGAAAAATAAACGAAGCATTGTTGGAAAAGAGATCTCTGATGGAAGGTAGAAGTTTTGGTTCTAGAATAGTGTCAATGTATTTTCTGGCAATCCGTGTCCCAGCGATGACATGAAGGCGACCAATACCATCTGATGACATGTATGACCAAATCATAACACTAACTGGGTTCTTCACAGTTGCTTGAATGCAATCAGGATGTAGCTATTCTCCTATTCTACGTCTTACATATTTTCGCCCATCACTACCGAATAACGATAACTTAGTTTCATCACTCCATATAACTTGTGACCACTGATCATCTGTCCAATTAATGTGTTCCTTTGCCCACTGTAGTCTTTTTTTCCGTTGCCGAAAATTAAGATAAGGCTTTTTTCGTGGAATTCTACCTCTCAGTCCAACATCTGTTAATCTTCTCCTGATTGTTCTTGAACTGACAGAAACACCAGCATCATTCAGATCACTTCTGATGATTTTTCTATCTTGGAGACATAGTCTTTTCATTCCTCTGTCATCAATAGATGTGGTGCAGCTTTTTCGGCCTTTTCCTTCTTTGTTTTTTAATGAATTTGTCTCCTGATATCGTAAACAAAACTTTCGGACTCCAGATGTAGTCACTGAACCACCCACCGGTCTTGCAATTTCAGCATAGGAAAGACCACTTTCTCGTAACACAATAATATTACATCTCTCTCTAGGTGTCGAACTTGGGACCTCCCGAATACGCGTCGGGTCTGTTTCCAGTTACACCAGGAAAGCATGCTAAAAGAAGGGGGAAAATACCTTACCCCCTTTTAAAGGGAGACTGGGGATTAGGGGCCCAACTCCCAAATCCTGGTGACGTCGAATTATCGTCTATCACCTTTTAGTTCAAGTGCTACTGTAGAGTCATTAGGCCTTTTTTGAAGGACACGTGAAAAATGTGCAGTTCCTTCGCCGGGACTCGAACTCCGCATCTCCTAAATATGCGTCAGGTGTGCTTCCAGTTACATCCCGGAGGGCATGCGAAAAAGGGGGAAAAACACCTCATAATCTTATTACTCTAACCTGTGCTGTCACTTCTGCTTTCCAGATCCACCGGTGGCCGAGCGATAAAAGTGGCTGTGTACTGGTAGTTTGACTTGGTTCGAACTGGCTGACTGCAAGGGCGTTTTCGTAGTTTTCGCCGTGTATAACATGAATGCGCGTCACGGAAGAAACTCTTCCAGGAAGAGTTTTCCTTAGAAACTCTACCAGGAAGCCATCCTTCGTCTGAGGTACATAGCCCTCCCGTGTTTTGCCATACTTAAATAAACCAAACTAAGCCAAAACACTTGTACTTTCTTTGGCTCCCACCAGGATGCAAACTAGTTAAGGCGTACATAAGAACCTAATCCTTGAAATTACGAGTAACATTTTGGCAGTCTCTTCGGCAGACTAATTTTTGTACTATTTATCGCCCAACTCTTAGAATTATACAAATCGATTTCATCCTTTCGGTAGGCGGTTGTTCGCGTATATTTAGAAGCTTTATCCAAAGCTTATATTACTGTTTTGGTTATGAATTTCAAACCTTACTTAAAGTTAATTGAAAATTTTATGTTCATTTAAACAGGCAAGTCGCGGTGACTGATTTTATAAAACATGGATCCTGCATTTGTTTATTTCAATTTAGAAGGTTTATTCTAAATCTTCATCTAAATTATAGTTGTTTCAATAATTAGATGGACGAGTCACGACTCGGTCTATATGGAAGATTATTTAGTTTGATAATTTTCAGAATCTCGCACGAACGTAATATCATCACTGACAGAACAATCAGTTAAATTTGCTACTTAAACGAAATATTTGTCGAATACATTCGTATTATTTAAGACTTCAGCAACAATAACCTATTTACATATTTTGTCTTTTAAATATACTCTTATAAAAGTTTCATAAGAAACATGAAATTTCAAAGTAAAAGACTAAATTTCGGTTTTTACTCCCTTGTTCAAAGTAAAGGAAGTATTGTAACAGCGAAAAATTTCGGGTATCATATTTCAACGAAAATATCCATATTGGACGCTCTCGAATCCATTTGAACGATGTTTTTGCCTCAGATCTGTACGTACGTACAGAATAAAGGACTCTTTTTTTCCAAAACGGATTGTAAAATTGATTTAAAATGGATTCAGAAAAGATTTTTTTCGTGAAGTCTGTGCATACGCAGGTAGATACGTATATATGTATCTCGTATAACTCAAAAAAGAGTAGCCGTAGAACACTAATATTTTGATATGGGACAGCTATAACATGCAGTTGTGAACCTTTCTTTTCCGTAATAATTGGCTGCACCAAAGGTGTATAAATATATATATAGATAGATATATATAGATAGAATGTGTATACATTCCCACTTTGTTGCCCAGCTCAGTGAGCTCAGATTTTTTATCCTTATATGTAGGTAAACTGTGCATTTTTTGTTTTAAAATGATTGAATTATGTTGTTCTTATGTTCTGATTAAGGTTTTTATGCCTTAAGTTAATCTGCATGCAATCATTATAGAATTATTAACAAAATCAATTTAAAAGTTTAAGTGGTGCTACTGTAAAGAGGCCGCCATTTGTTTAGTTGCAAAATCTTAGCAGAATAGTGAATTAAATCAATTGGTGCATCATATTCAATGTCTTTTAGCTTAGTGGAGCCAAAAGTTAGTTCTTAGTTTTGTACACTGTAAATTTTGTCTTTCTGCCCCATGGCCAAATTCTTTGTTCTTGCGTAGAAATTCTAATTCTAAAAATTATTTTTTAACTGTTTTTAACTGTATCTGATTTTTTGATTTTCTGTGTTTTACATGTTTTAATGAAGCTACTTTGCATTTCTCTAGTGAAATTCGATGAAAAAAGATTAAAGGAATGGCAGCAAAAAATAGATATGATTTAATGGGGCGTGCAAAGAAGTCTCATGTGGTGTCCACATCAGATGATTTATAAAAAGTGCAAGCCAGAGCTGAAAATTTTTAATATTTAAATCTTATTGATTGCTATATTGACCATTGATCGCGTCTCCAACTTATTTGCATACCACTTTCGAAAAGAAATTTTATCACATTACAATTGTACTCCAGACGGTTCAGTGCATATCAAAGAATCACAAACAAGTGTTAAATTTTTTTTCTTAAAATAAATTACCGATGCATTATCATATACTCGCCGACTTGTTATTTCCAGTGTGCTCAGCTTTTGGTTTATCGTCCTCTTATTTATGAGGTTAAAGTAACAGACAGAAGTTCTGATATCATTTAGTGAATGAGTTAACACGGATTCTTTATCGATTTCAATGACGCTTTAGCGATAAATTCATTTTCTGTTTTGAGTGTATGTCAAATAATATATAGCACTTCCACAGAATCACAAAACGCGAGACTTGTATGAATCGTTTTGTTCATTCGAACAGGTTTTAAAGCAAAACGTGCATGACATGTACGGTTCCGAGAGGTCCGCTCACCCCTGGGCTAAGCATC